TATCTACTACAAAATTTAAGTTTGTAGAGTCTACAATAATGACAAAAGTAAAAATAATAGAGCATTATAATATTGTTGGATTTAGATGGCCTAAATTTCAAAGATTTTCTTTTTAAGCGGTTTTATTCTTAAAAATGAGCTTTTAAGTTTCAACGATTCAGATTACAAATTTGTTTACTTTTTAATACAAAATTTCGACATAACGCCAATTTAATAAAAATTATGTTGGTAATGGAGAATATTTGAGGTTATATCATGTTATCAAATTTATGTTTGTCGGAATTATGTATTTAAATTGTTAGTTTTAGGGGTTCCTATAAATGTAAATACATACACACAGGCCKTTAGGCCGTAACAGATATTGATGTATTACAATATATTTTTTCAGTGTGATTTGCCCCAACGCCAAATTGACCAATTGGATATCGAGGCGTTCTATAAAGAGAACAATTTTATCGGCTGGACAGAGACTTCTGCTAAAGACGGGTTGATGGTTAACGATTCCATGCAGTAAGTTAATTTCTCAGCTCTCTCGTCCAAAACTTTATCTAAAATATGTATTTGTTTTTAAGGTTTTTAATAAACTCGATGATGGGACAATACAACGATGAAACCGACCAAACAGAACTCGTAAAACTCTCCGGCCCTAATGCGGAAAACAAGAAATCGTGTTCATTTTGTTAACCAACGATCAATATGTCTTAAACGTTTAAGTCCGTGTTTATAATGTTTCGTCTGTATTGTTCTTGTATATTCGTTGATATCAACGAGTTATTTAAATATAATATTGTCGTTGAAACTTTATATACTATATATTATTAATTACATGTTGTAATTAATTTTAAGTTTCAAAACATTTGGTCTATTAATCTACGTTTTAGTTATTGTCTGTTKGCCTCAATAAGACACTGTCATATTGTAGCAATACAATATTATATATTATTTTTAAGTGCAATCATATTGATAATTATTTCTGTTTTTATTATTTTTATAATTTAAACAAAATTAAGT